GCTCTGAGTGCCGCCTCTGGCACCCGTGCCATAGGTTCGCCACCACTGTTCTAGAGTCTTGACATCTTTTTCATATCTTGGCAACCAAAACTGGACACCTTGTTCCAAGTATGGTCTTTATAGGCTTTATAAAGCCTATAAAGCTTTAAGGCTTTATAAAGCAGTACGAATCACTCCACGTGACCTTGAATTCTTTTTCTTTTAAAGTCATGGCTGCATCAGAAGAGCGCTTGTTAATAGCCTCAAAGCAAGCAGGGTAACGTAACGCTGATGATCTGACGGCAAGGATGCTTTCACATCATCCGGATAGTACACGATGACACACTTCCTTAGCTAAAAGCAGCCTCAGACATTTAAGCAGGAGACAGGGCTTCGTGGCACACAACTGTAGGAACCAGGTCCATTTAGTCGGAATGAACTTCAAACACGCAATTTGCAAGGTATCGGGCAGTCTTGCAACAATAATAGATCAAATAGCCTTGTGTTTATGGCCTTAATGCAGCATTTCAGAATCAATGCTGCTTTGTTGGCTTTGTGTACTTCAGTTTCCAGGACACCATGATACTTTTGCATTTGTCACTGAAATGGACAAATTCAACCAAAGATAAAATGCTGTTAGTTCCAGTCTGTGGTAATTGGATTTTTTGATATATTTATTTAATGTAGACGTTTGCCAATGAATTGGATTTTCAGATTGATTTTTTTAATGCTGAAGAAAGGGCATCATGGGGGGGTGGGAACCCAGCTTCATTTAAAAAAAAGAAATGTACAAAAAAGCCTCCATCTGTAATTGTTTACTTCCTTATCTCGCGTGCCACACTTTAGTCTAAAAAGCTTTTCAGCACAACAGAAGAAGAAATTGATTTTCAGTCATTTTTAATGACCATGCAACTAATTGTGTCCCATAACATATGTTCCCCTGCCTTTTTGCAGCAAGCCAATAGCATAACAATAGTAAGTCAGCGTGCAGGACAATAACTTTTAATTAATTCAGGTATCTGAGATGTAGAAGCTGTAGATGGGACTGACTCTGGACTTCTTCCTTTGTCAGTACAGATATTTGCTTAAAGGTCAACTGCACGTTAGGTAGGAAACCCAGTGGCAGTGCAGGATGGGGATGTTAATCTTGTGCCCCTGCTATTTTTAATCATACAAATCCTACCTTTTCAAATCAGCTGTTTGCCCTAATGAAGAATGCGAAATCTCCTTGGCTGTCTTAGTTTTTGTTTTTCATGCGATCATGATCCGCGATTAAACAGCACCACAAATTAAAAGCAAACAGACGCAAAAGAGTGAAATTTAAAATCAGCATTGTACTAACTGCTGCTAATACATTTTAACCAGGATCTCTACGTGACTTCTTCCTTTGCAGTTCAGAAATTGGACTATCAAAAATGAGTAGATGCTAGTAGGGTTGCCTAGCTGCCATCCTTTAAAAAAACAAAACCTGCTGATCTGTCAATCAAAGGTTTTTTGCACTCTTGATGAGTTTTTCTATGTTTGGAAGTATATTGTTTTCAGAGGCTAAGCCAAGGGCTACCTGTATGCATGTTAATTCATGCACCGAGGTTTGATTATGATCAGAGTTTGAAACCTTTTGCTCACTCTGAAGCTGAAAAGTCAAGTCCTGCTTCCCAAAATATTTAGATTGTTTGTAATCGGCTCCCCATATGTCTGATGAATGCAGTTTTGGGATGCAATCTAGGTTTCTGATCGAGAGCGGATCCAGGATTATCCACTGAGTACATAGCAGAGGCAAGTTTAGTATTGTGTCATCCAGTTAAGCAGCTCCTGTTGCTCCTTTGAATGATGTTTTAATTTTTGTACAATTGACAGCAACTGTATGAATAATCAAAGCACATATAACTGAAGAGAAAGAATCTTTGGAAAGATAGATGAAAAAGATACAGTCGCGATGAGAAATTAAGCATGGCAGTCAGTCATTCTGATCGCAGGATTTAAACCCTAGAAGTAAAAAATTTCTGAACGCACTCTGAAGTTGTTTTTATTGCCCAACAAACCTTAGAGAGATGCTCTACATGAAAGCTGAATGGGTGACTTTGGGCTGATCCCCAGGAGACAGTGAGTTCTAGTTCCTCCTTACGCTTAAAAAGTAGCTGGATAACTTTGGGTTGATCCCCAGGAGACAGTGAGTTCTAGTTCCTCCTTACACTTGAAAAGTAGCTGGATAACTTTGGGTTGATCCCCAGGAGACAGTGAGTTCTAGTTCCTCCTTACACTTGAAAAGTAGCTGGATAACTTTGGGTTGATCCCCAGGAGACAGTGAGTTCTAGTTCCTCCTTACACTTGAAAAGTAGCTGGATAACTTTGGGTTGATCCCCAGGAGACAGTGAGTTCTAGTTCCTCCTTACGCTTGAAAAGTAGCTGGATAACTTTGGGCCGATCACCAGGAGACAGTGAGTTCTAGTCCCACTTTAGGCTTGGAAATGGCTGGGTGACGCTGGACCAATCACCAGGAGATGGTGAGTTCTAGTCCCATCTTAGGTATGAAAGCAGCTGGGTGACTTTGGGCCAGTCCCTCTTTTTCAGCTGAGCTCACACGTCAAGGGTTGCCGTTGTGGGGAAAACTGGAGGAGGGAAGGACTGTTAGGCATGCTTGCTGCCTTGAATGATTTATAAAAACAATAAAGGGAACATGTAAACAAACAGCCTAAAATAAAATATTTATTGATTGATTTATTTAGAAAATTTATATTGCCGCCTACCTCACACGTGGCGACTCAAGGCGGCTTGCAGGACATCAAAGCACCATGTAAAAGAAATAATAATAATAATAAAAAACAAAAATAACAAAACAGTGCTGTTTTTCTCTTTCACAGTGGTCGAAGAGGGATTTTGGGAGAACGGGCTTTCATACGAATGCAGGACGCTACTTTTCAAGGCGATCCACAACCTGTTGGAAAGGTGAGTGCACGACGGCTCTGTTGATGTTGCGTTGAGTTTAGTCACCTGACAAACAGTTTGCTTCAAGGGAAGGTGCAGAACAGTCCTCCTTTTCAACGAGAGACGGAAAAATAACATGCAACAACTCTCCCCCCCTTATTTTTATTTGTATATAAGAAAAGATGCTTCCTTCGCTAAGACCTTAATAGGAGGAGGACATTTTGTGGATCATAGGAAGGGTGCCCAAAAGAGAAGGATTGTGAAACTGGAGTTAAGGAAGTGTACCAGATGCCCTGCGTTCAACACAACAACAAACGTTTAGTACACTTTCACTTTATCTTTGTCCTTCCAGCTTAAAACTCTAGAAATGGGGAAAATAGGAAATACAGTTTTAGGACGCACCAGGACATAATTTAATATAGATGGTCTTGGCAGTAACAATGGGGGTTGGACTAGATGACCTCCAAGGTCCCTGCCAACATTATTATTATTATTATGGATCATCGCACAGTCAGCCAGATGTTCAGACTGGATTTGGCATTTTGTCTACCTATCGAGTCCTGGGATAGACAGATGTGGATGTTTGATGGTATTACAGATATCGTCGCAGGATGGAAGCAGTTCCTAGTAAGGCCGTCTTTTGCATTATTATTATTATTATTATTATTATTATTATTATTATTACTACTACTACTACTACTACTACTACTACTACTACTACTACTACTACTATGGCTTCCCCATTGACTTTGGCTGTCAGAAGGTCGCAAAAGGGGATCACATGATCCCAGGACACTGCATCCTTCATAAATACGAACCAGTTGTCAAGCATCCGAGTTTTGATCACGCGAGATGCGGGAGCTGCTACGGTTGTAAGTGTGAAAAACGGTCATAAGTCATTTTTTTTTACCAGCGCTGTTGTAACTTTGAACGCTCACTAAATGAACTGTTGTAAGTTGAGGACTGCCTGTATTTTTATTTCTGTGCTACTAACAAGGTATCTGATGGGATGGAAGTCAGTTTAATCAGGTTTCCTCCCCCCCCCTCTTCTTACAATTAAGCACATGAAGAAATTTCTCTTCAAATTCCAGTAGCCAAGAAAATGCTGTTATTGGGGGGGGGTGTCTGGTAATCCAGTAGAATTAGCGGTCTGGAATTCCTCTTGAAATCCTTCAAAGTGAGGGCTTGACTCCTCGTGTCATCTTGATTCAACTTTTCCATTGTTTGATAGAAACATTCCTTTCTGGAAAGGCCCCATGGTTTTGATTGATTGCTAATGAACTGTTTCCTCCTTTGGCTGTTATCTCAGAATTATGCCGAAACCTTTTTGTGGCTGGCATTTTAAAACAAGCTATATAGACTTCACAAGGAATTAGTAAAATACACCCCAAGTTGCTAATTTTAGAGATGCAGTTCCTTGCCTTCTGTTTTCTGTCAAACCAAAATATTTGAAGGCTAAGAAACGCTTCGTCTTATTTGGCTCCTAATTTTCCTAAGCGTGGCACTCTCTGAAATTTTCAGCCTATGACTCCTAATTCTGTATTTAAATTAGTTTTGCGCCTTCTAGATAAGAAATTATTTGCCTCTTTTGAACAGTTAGATTCAGTTCCGGAAGGAGAGTTTACTTCCCTTGGAGTAATATTAAAATAGAAACGGCACCAGATCATGTTAGTGAAATGGACTGGGATTTTTTTTAAAAAAAATATCCTGAAGTACAAATAGGAAATTTGAGTTAAATTAGTATTTTCTCGCCGTAGCGTCAATAACACATTTATCCTGTTGTTTCATCAGTCTGTTATTTTGACTCCTGTTTTCATATAGACTTGTTTTAGTAATAATTATCCAGTACAGGTAGTCCTCAACTTACAACAGTTTGTTTAGTGACCGTTCAAACTTACAACGGCACTGAAAAAAAAGGGACTTATGATCGTTTTTCACACTTATGACCGTTGCAGCATCCCCAGGGTCACGTGATCAAAATTCAGACACTTGGCAACTGGCTCATATGTATGACGATTGCGGCGTCCCAGTGTGTGTGTGTGTGTGTGTGTGTGTGTGTGTGACCTAATCCCCTTTTGTGACCAAAGTCAACAAGGAAGCTAGATTCATTTAACAACTGGGTTAACCAACTTATTAACGGCAGGGATCCCCTTAACAAGGGTGGTAAGAAAAGTCGTAAAATGGGGCAAAACTCACTTAACAAACGTCTCACTTAGCAACAGAATTTGTGGGCTCAATTGTGGTCATAAGCTGAGGATGATTATTAATAATAATCCCTCGCTTAGCCCAAGAGAGATTCTGCCCTCCATAGCAGTCATAAGCTGAAAACCACCTTGGCTCTGTGGTTAGATGTTGAAAACGTGCCACTTATTTTTAGCATCTTTACTGCTGTTTTCGACCAGATAAAAATCAAATGTAGTAAGTGAACAAGGCTACCTGCTGAGCCCCATAGTTAACCCTGGGATTCTTGATCTCAGTTTGATCTTTTGATTAGACCGTAATCACTACCTTGCACCGGAATTACAAAACAAATAATTGCCAGCGGTGGCTGCTGCGTTTGTGCTGCGATAACAGGGGATGCTATATAAACCTCAGATAACCCTGGATTTAGGGGGAACCATCCAGTGGTGGGTCAACGTAGAGTTTTAAGTGAATGTGAAGAAGCACAAAAGGCTCGAATTGGTGAACGGCTTCGGGAAAATAAAAATAGTATTTCAGCACTTGTTGATGTTTCCATTTTGCCACTTGAGAAATCAATCAAGTCACTATTTCATGGCTGTTGAACTTGATTAGATCTAATTGTGTTGCCGAGCTGGGATGGAGTGCGTATTAATTATTATTATTTTTTAGCAGGTTCTCAAGTCTGTTGATCTTTCTCATTTATGCTAAGTGGATAATGGGTTAACTATTAATATGCATATAATGACACATTGCTGAAACTGATTGTTATTGACTCTAATGCTCCAGAATATAATGGTTAGGGAAGGGGGGGTCTCATTGACTGAAGCTTGACGTAATGCTGTTAAGGTATACTTAATTAAAACCCAAACAGTTTATGGCTTCAGAATAAACTGTTCAACTATCAACCTAGCTAGGATCAAAATATATCTTTTTTACTCAAGTCAGTACTATGGTTTGAAACTATTTGACTAATCAGCTATTTATTTATTATTTTTTTAAAAGGCTGGCTTACTACGCACTAATCCAGTAAAAGATAACATTTTTCAATTAGTGTTTGTAGCCACAGCTGCGTCTCTGCTTTGATGCCGTGAGAATTAGCCGGTTAGTAGTTGATAGAGAGGGGATCCATTTTTAAAATAGACCCGCAATGACGTGAGACAAATAAAGAGACCCAGGCTAATATCATAAGGGCAGAAAGGCAGAGCTGGATGTGAAGAGGTGAAGGGGAATGTTTTTCTATGGTTATAAATGGCTATTTTCCTTCTTCCTTTATTTTAGATGCCTCATGGACAAAAACTTTGTCAGGATCGGGAAGTGGTTCATCCGTCCGTACGAAAAAGATGAAAAGCCCATTAACAAAAGGTAAGGATGCGCGGTGCTTAAAAATACCTTTAAAAACACATCGTGGCTGACGACGCTCTTCTCCGTTTGTAGTTCGCTTCCCCCACCAGGTTCATATAATACATCCTGACACTTAATAACTCAGCGGCTGAGATGGCGATAGTGAGCTCAGCCTTATTGCATTAATTCCACCATCACACACACACACACACCCTCCACATTTGCAGCCCTTGAGCAGACTTGCAATTAGGCTACAACTGGTCCAGGGGTTGACAGTTGTCACTGAAGCATTTGATGTTTCCTTAAGCCTAGAATAGGTAGCACTTTGCTGGGAAGGTAACCGGGCTCCGTGACATCATGCCTTCGGACTGCACTGGCACAATGGCCTTAAAATGGAGATGAGAAGCACCCCTTAAAGTTGGCAATGACTAGTGGAGTAAAATCTGAAGGGGATTCCTTTACCTTACTTTTTAAGCCCATGACAAGGTGGTTTTTCAAAAGGCAACTGGATTTTGTCAAGATGATTTAAAGATTGTGGGTAAGAAGTTTGCCTGCCTGCTTCTTCCCAGGAATATCTATCTATCTATCTATCTATCTATCTATCTATCTATCTATCTATCTATCTATCTATCTATCTATCTATCTATCTATCTATCTATCTATCTATCTATCTATCATCTATCTATCTATCTATCTATCTATCTATCTATCTATCTATCTATCTATCTATCTATCTATCTATCTATCTATCTATCTATCTCTACCTACCTACCTACCTACCATCCATCCATCCATCCATCCATCCATCCATCCATCCATCCATCCATCCATCCATCATCTATCTATCTATCTATCTATCTATCTATCTATCTATCTATCTATCTATCTATCTATCTATCTATCTATCTATCTATCTATCTATCTATCTATCTATCTATCTATCTATCTATCTATGTTATTACCAGTTTTCTATACCTATTTCTATTTCAATACTTATGCCTATTTCTGTGCCGTCCATCTTGCCAAGGTGACTCTAGGTGGCTTAGAGTCAAAAGTATTGATTTTGTGTATTCAATCCATTTGGGAGAAATAACTGCACTACTGCACAAATTATTGTAGCTTAAATGTACAGCCTTGTATATTTTTGTATAGTATAATATAGTTTTCTACCTGTATAGCGCAGCCTTGTACTAGCCAGTTGTGATGGATTATATTTAAGTGAGAATCACTGCGTGGTTTTGTGTGCTGCCTGCATCCCACGGATGGGGCTTTGCTTGTTTGTGCGGGCCGGTTGCTGGCATGCAGTGGCCCAGTACTGGTCCACGGACCGGGGATTGGGGACCCCTGATTTAAAAGACCCAGGTGTTACATTTCATTTAAATAACGTACATACGCGTTTTAACATTTTTTCCCTTCGTGGATTTCACCCACATACATAGACTGAAAACAAGATGCTTTAATGATTTATTTGCAATTGTCATATTAACTCAAACCACATCGGAATTGTTGGGGTTTTTTTTTAAGTTTGTTTGGCCTATGTCATCTAGTACTGTTGTAGGTGTCTTGAGATGAATTTTTCTGTTTACCCAAACTTGTGAAGGATTTGAACACACTGGTGGTTTTAATGGGAGGTCTGGAATGAAGCTGTATGATCCAAGCTGGAAAGTTCTAAGAAGGTTTAAGCTGAATTCCTCATTAGACTCTTAAAGCTGACAGAGTATATAAAGGATGGGCGAAATACCCCTGATGTGCTGTTAATTAGATTTGTCAGGAATCTCAGTTGTTTAGCCTGCCACATAGTGTTGTCACTTACTATATCTATAATTAATTGTCTTAAGGGCATCAGTAAATAACAGAGGCTTCTTTTTTAGTTTCTGAATAGCTATTCTAATAGAGTTAGGCCCCCTGCTTGACGACTTGAATCAGAGGGAAACTTTGATTTCAGGATAAGCTTTACCTTTAAAAAAAAAAAAATCCCACAGTTAAATCATTTGAGCTTCCTTTGAGCCCAGTTCTCAAACAGGAGAAACAATGAAAGAGAGAAAAGGAAGTTAATCCCTTAGTGTTCTTTGTTGTCAATAGAATGGGAGAATTCGTTTTGCCACTTCTTAATCCTTCCAGGATAAAAAGCATGGGACTCTTTTTTTTCTCCCCCACCCCGTAAAAATTAAATGGTATGTTCAGTTAAATGCCGCTTTGCATAGTTAAAATCAGATGCATTTTCCACGGCGTTTTGCGCCCTAAATCGAGATTAGACAGGCAATCGTGTCTGGAGAGCATCCTGTTCGGTCCTCGCTATTCCTTCCTCACAATCATTTTAAATGTGCGGTGTAATATTAAGCAAAAATTAGCCGGTGTGCAACCTTGACCGATGTTGGCTTTTGCGTTTTCTTCCCAACGTGAAGAACATATCAGCCATGCTCTAAAGCCGCGTCCCTCTCTTTGATTGCAAGTCAACTTTCTTCCTATAGATTCATTCCGTGATACAAGCAGTCCTCGACTTACGACCTCAATTGAGCCCAACCTCTTTCTGTGGTTAAGCGAGACAATTGTTAAGTACGTTTTGAATTTTGGTTAGCAGCTTTTTGTCCAGATGCTATTTGAGACTGATCTTAGGCCTAGTTCGCCGCTGTTAACTCAAACCCTCTGTCAAGAAGTTCATTGGGTTAAACAGGGCAGAGATGCAACGTGGTCATTCGTGATTCCATAAACTACCTTTTGGCATGCAATGTCAGTGAACTTGTCTGTGGTCAGCTGAACAACTCAGTTGCTTGTTTGGAGAAGCACTTCAGCATATTCCAAAGGGGCTTTTTCAGGAGGCAACTAGACTTTCTGTTTTTTCTTTGAAGACGTTTCGCTTCTCATCCAAGAATGGATGGTGGGGAAGGGAAGGATTTATACTCCTTGCAGACAGCTGGTCATTTGCATCCTTTTGGAGAGTTGTTGAAGCCACTTGGAGGTTTATCTGTGTCCTCAGGGTGTGTCCACAGAAGGCTCCCCACCCATTTGCACCACTCAGGTGACCCTGAGGATACAGATAAACCTCCAAGTGGCCTCAACGGCTCTCTAAAAGAATGCAAATGACCAGCTGTCTGCAAGGAGTATAAATCCTTCCATTCCCCACCATCCAGTCAGAGCTGAAGAAGCTTCTCGGATGAGAAGCGAAACATCTTCAAAGGAAAAACGAGAAAGTCCAGTTGCCTCCTGAAAAAGCACCTTTGGGACAACATGATTGAGAATCTCCATAAGTATGTAATAAAGTTCAACCAAGTCTAAATCGTCAGTGCAGATTTGTGCAAACTTTTATTGCCTGATGTGAAGGAAGCAATTCTGAAGATAAGGTGAATTGCAAGATCATGAAAATGCTTTTACTGCCCCTGCTGCTTTGAGTTGCACTTTTCTGGACAACACCACCACACAATGCAGAAGTGGTGCTGGGTATTCAATGTTAATTACTGTGAGTTTCAGAGAGGGGGGAGCTTGAAATGAGCATTGTGTGTCTCATAAGCAGAAATTAAGTAAGATAGATGCTACTACAAAGAGCAGTGCTTTACACAAGCTAAAATCAAATCTCTTCCATCAAAGAATCAAGGGCAGTGACTAAGTTCAGCCTATTGAAAGATTCAACCCATTCAGAAAAAAAACACATTGTTAAAATGAATACTTCAGTTCAGCCATAAATGCTTCAAACCAAATAAGGATTGAGCCGCTGTCCTTTATCCGCCTACCGGAAAGGAAATTTAATAGGTAATCTCAATTTACGACTGCAGTTAAGCCCCAAATGTTCTGTTGTTAAGCGAGACATTTGTTAAATGACTTTTGCCCCATTTTATAACTTTTCTGGCCAAAGTGGCAGACTTTCTGGCCACACTGCAGTTGTGAAGTTAGCAACACGGCCGTTAAGTGGCTTCCCCATTGCCTTGACTTGTCGCAAGGTCGCAAAAGGGGATCGCGTGACCCCCCCCGGGATGCGGCCGCCGTCATGAGCCAGTTGCCAAGGGTCCGAATTTTGATCACTGACCACGAGGATCTTGCAGCCGTCGTCGGTATGAAAAACGGCCATCGGTCACTTTTTTCAGTGCCCCTGTAACTTTGAACAGTCACTAAACAAATAGCCGTAAGTCGAGGACCTCCATTGGCAAAGACCTCAGTCCAGTGGGAAGTCCACAGATCAAGTGGGGTCCTGAGACGTTTTTGTGGCATCTGGGAAACTCTACCTGAGGTGGCCTGTCAGCTTTAAATAGAATAAGTCCATTTGAGTCCATTTCTTAGGTGTGGGTCCCTGCAGTGATCAACACACTTTTTTTTTTTTACATCTGCTTCATTCAGGCGAATGAAGCCACGAGAAACTTTTTTTTCTTTCCCCTGGCAAATGTTTCCTCTCCCTGAAAGATGGACGGGGAAAAGACAGCGAAATCGCTTGCTTAGTACTTTCTATAAAGCTTTTTTTTAAAAACCCTACCTAGATGCTTTTAGATATAGGATGGTGGAGTGGATCTTTGTTCAAAGGGTACAGGCAAACAATACGAGGGCTGTTTTTCTGGGAAGGAAGGAAGGCCCAGTGGCATGTTGACTTGCTTTTCAATTATGCGAGCGTGCATCTTTGTGAGCTGCGTTACCCGTAGGGATATTTTCAGGATTTGATGCCGGTTTCCAAAAGCACTTAAATGATCTGCTGTTTAATATTTTATTTAAAAAAGACATAAATCTTTATACCTCATTTTGAGTCCCTAGTACAGATTGAAGAATGAGCTCTGAAAGAATAGAAATTGAAAAATGAGGTCTGAAAGCAATTCATAAAAATATGTACAGTTATATGTGTGTGTGTGTGTATGGATAGATAGATAGATAGAGATAGATAGATAGATAGAGAGAGAGAGAGAGAGAGAGAGAGAGAGAGAGAGAGAGAGAGAGAGAGAGAGAGAGAGAGAGAGAGAGAGAGAGAGAGAGATTAGATGAGAGAGGGAGAGATAGGTAGATAGAGAGATTGATAGGTAGATGATAGATGATAGAGAGAAATC